TCCCACGTGACAGTCTCTCCCTGGGACTGTGAGGCTGTGGATGGCCCAGTGACCGCAGGAAGAAGGGCCAGCGTTCTTCCCCCGCTCGGAGCCTGCTTCCAGGTGCCTTTTCAGCAAGATCACTGGAGACGCGTCCGTCCCCCTGTCCCCTGTCCCCTGTCCCCTGTCCCCTGTTCTCGTGTATGGAGGTGCAGCCGGGGGAGCCCTCAGGAGAGCCACTCCCTGGCCCCCACTTCCCGGCTCCCAAGGCCTGATGCGCTCATCTTTTTTTTGGGGGGGGGGCGGTGGGCACATACTGCGGGTGCTGCTCAGGGGTTACTCCTGGCCCTGAGCTTAGGAATCACTCTTGCAGGCTCAGGAGACCACGTGTGGTGCTGGGGTTGACCTGGGGTCGATCACAGCGAGACAGGTGCGCTGGTGGCTGTGCTAGCCCTGCCACTCTCTCCTGCCCTTTTTGAGTCCCTGGTTTTCCTGCTGGAGACGGGGGCTGTGCTCTTGTCATACAGGGCTGTGCCAGCAGGAGGGAGTGCCATGACTGCAGTGGACATTTCGCAGGGGGCACGGGCGCAGGCCGGTGGGTGGCGGGAGGGTCTGCGGCGTCTCAGCTCAGTGCCCGCAGGGGGCCGCCTCTGAGCCAGCGTCCCTGGGGTGGCGGGCACTGGCAGAGCGGCCCACGGCCTGGGCTCATGGAGGCCTGGTGTGGGGCTGTCCCCCTGCTCGGCCCGAGCTGGAGCAGGCTTTCCTCAGTGGCTCACAGTCCCCCTGCAGGGTCTCCCTGTCCCCCGCCTGGCATCGCTGCTCTGACTCTTTGCCGTAGCTGGCTCAGCTCCAGCTCCAGGTGCTCCTCTCAGACGGGGCGCTTGCCAAGGACACTGTGGCGAAGCGGCTGTCCTGCACGCGGGTCACTGTGTGCACACCTCTGTCCAGCACACGGATGTTCCTAGCACCCATCTCTGGGGTACAGGGCTCAGCCTGTTCTCCTTATTCTGTGGTTTACAGATGGCCTCAGAGCCTGACTTCCAGGCCTGGAGGACAAACAGGGCACGCCTGGGTCTGGGCCCTGACTTCTGGTTCAGCAAGCCCCTGCCCAGTGCTGGGCCAGGCCGGAGGGTCACTGGCCCCTTGGTAGAGTATGCGATGTCCGTCTGTAATGCCCAACAGGCTGCAGTGTCCTCTGGGATCATTATCCCATCAAAAGAAAAAAAAAAAGCCCTTGAATGGTTTCTGAACCCAGGCACCAGCAAGAAAGCGTGCCAAAGGCAGCTGGTGTGAGAACCAGGGAAGGACTGGGAAGTTCTCCCGGGAGAGAAGGGAGGGGCACGGGTCGGGTCAGAGCCGGACTCAGCCTGGCCTCCTGCTGTGCCCTCAGGGGTTTAGGCTTCCTGCTCAGTCAGCGGGGAGGGGCTCCCCATGTCACTTGGGGGTACTGCTGCATCCGCACCTCAGGGTGGCTTTGAGGGCTGAGTGAACTTACAGAGCCCTTTTGGCATGTGGCTCTGGTAGTTTGGGATTTCATTGTCTCCTGGTGTCCGTCTGGCAGTCAAGACCCCCGTCCTCCCCCCCACCGGCTCTGTTGGACCCCTGGCTGGCCTAGGAACACCCACATCCACTCTCTGGTCTGTGCTGGCGGACAGTGGTCTGAAAGGAGTCTCGTTTTTTTCTTCTCTTGCTTTTTGGGTCGCACCTCATAATTGATACTCAGGAATTACTCCTGGTGGTGCTTTGGGGGCCATATGGGATGGCGGGGATCGAATGCTGGTCGGCCGCGTGCAAGGCAAATGCCCTCCCCGCTGTACTATCACTCTGGCCCCTGAAAGGGGTCTCTTGTTACCCTCTACAGCTGCTTTGAGGTGATTGTTTTCCGGATCTAAGGAATGCTGTGTATGCTGACTTCTATACTGACACGCCCATGCTCCGCCCCCTGGGGCCCAGGACCCCCTCCTCTCCCCAACTCAGCACAAGGGGCTGGCCAGAGTCCCTACCGCTGCGGGAAGGTGGGTTGGTTGGGGAGAACCTGTAGAGCATAGTGAAGTGCCCGTCAACATCAGAAGCTTTTTGGTGCATCTCAGGATATGGAGCAGAAAGACAATCCACAGGGTGGGGAACGTATTTGTGAATCAGATTAGTATCCAGCATATATAAAGAACTCATATAGCTCATAGCTCACCAACAGAAAGTTAAACACCCCCCCCCAAATGTGCGAGGACTTACAGATGTCTGTCCTAAGAAGATTGCATAATCTCTGAAAATTATGAAAACATCCCTGCTCTCAATACGTTTTAAATATAAAACTGATTACCACATTGCTACTTCTGTGTGACAAGAAGTCCATTTTCAAAATAGATAAAATTCAGCCCTTAGGTACCAATGATACGTATGACAATTAAAAAAAATTCTGAAGTCAAGTCATTTGGGATTCTTCAGTATGCAGAACCTTGGGGGGGGGACTGGGGGGGCCTCAAAAGAACCAGGGTTGTCTATGGCACCATGAGACCAAAGCTGGGAATATGTCTGGGAGACAGTATTCGGGCATCGGACAGAGGTGCCTGCCTTTAGCCTACTGCCCCCTCTGCAGATCACTGGAACCCTCTGGAAAGCTGCCTTTCAGCAAAGAAACAGAAAGTGCTTCCCAGTTACTCGAGGCTGCTCTCCTCCCACGACTGTTCATGCTCCTCCCCTTCCCTCCCCTGCCAGTATCACCCAGTTTGGGAAAGAAGCTCTGTGTTAAATACCACCAGTCATCAAACGTTTCTGATCATGCAACATCATGGATGAACCTCAGTGAAGGAAGTCAATCGAAGATCACGTGTTACATGACTCTGTTTAAGCTGGACTTTCAGAAGGGCAGGTGCAGAAATGGAGAGTAGGTCAGTGGTTGCCAGGGGCGGGGTGGGGAGTGTTGGTTGGGGTCACCATGTGGGTGAGAGCAGGGCTCTGACGCCAGGTTATAGTGACTTTGCACAACGGAGAATTTTGTCTCCAAAAATGGGTCTGAAATAATAAACTTCTAGGGTTGGAGGCCCGAGAGAGCACGGTGGGTGGGGGCTTGCCTTGCCTGTCAGCTGGGCTCATCTCCAGCACCATAAATGGTCCCCGAGCCCTGCCAGGAGTGATTATGAGCACAAAACCAGGACTAAGCCCTGAGCACAGCTGGATGTGGCCCTCAAACCAAGACAAATAAAAATGCAGCCTGCACTGAAGTAGCTCGAGGGGCTAAGCACATACCCAAGTGAAATTCTCATCACTGCATGGTCCTGAGCCCCTGAACACTGTGTTGGGAGAAGCTCCAAGCACTCTTGGCTTAAAAAGAAAACAAAGAAACAAAAAGCCCACAGGACTTGGGACCTGAGGACAGTACAGTGGGGAAAGTGTTTTCCTTCTCATGACTCACCCGGGTTTGATCCTCAGAACCCCATATGGTCTTCCAAGCCCACTATGGGTAATTCCTGAGCACAGAGCCAGGAGTAACCTCGGAGCGTAGTTGTGTAGCCCCAAAAAACAAAACTGAAAAAAAAAAACCCCAAGAAGGCAGGAAGGCTGGTCCAGGGGTAGGGCCCTTCCTGGTCTGTACAGTCCCTAGTTCCAGTCCCCAGCACTGGACGCGCCCCCCACCCCCACCCCAGCATCACCTGGTGTAGCCCCACGGGCCCCTAGGCACCGTAAGAAGTAAAATAACGGTAATGTAAAGTGGGCCTGCCTCTCCCTGGGCCTCTGGTGGGCCTTGGGGCCTGTGGTTGCATTGTGTCACCCCCCCTCCCCCCACTTCCTACTTCTTTCTGAGTAGGCTCAGGATCCCCAGGGGGTCACCAAGGCTGTTTGCGTAGCCGGGCAAAGGGCGTGTTTATCTCCAGGAGCACCAGACAGTGGTGCCAGACAGGGCTGTGACTGAGGGGAAGACCGGCAGCAGGCGACTCGGCTTCTTCCTGTGGGCTTCAGCCCGTGCCCGTGCCCGCTGTTGGCACCTATGCGGAGACCCCGGGGTCCTGCAGGGAGGGATGGGCAGATGGTTGCCTGGGGTCAAATGGATCCAGGGTTGCTGGGCCCGCTGCCTGCTGATTGGTGGCAGAGCATGTGGCAAACTATGCTTGCTGTGGCCGTCAGACAGATCGTGACCCCCCCACCCAGCACCCCAGACTCAACCCCTGGGACCCAGCGTGCCAGCCCGAAATGGCCCTTCTTGGGTTCTGTCGGCTCGTGGACTTGCTTGACCTGCCTGCCTGTGTGTGTGCGCCAGGCACCCAGCCCCCTCGACTGCACCCTGCATTCCTGGCTGCGCTGTTCCCCTGCAGGCCCTCCCACCCAGTTCCTGGCCACAGCAGGGGCTGCGTGGGGGGGGGGGGGGTGGTGGCATTTGGAGCAGGCGTTCCACTGTGCCTGGCTGTGAGGGGCTGATGGTTGATTCTAGATGGAACTAATTTGAAAAACCCACCAGGTGCTGTGGCTAGGATAAGCTTTATAGTACAGGGGTTCCGATGCTTCCTCACGTGTGGCCAGCCCAGTTTGGTGTTTGGCACTGCCTTTGATGGGTCCCAGAATACGATGACAGGAGTAGCCCTGACCACTACCTACCCCCCCCATCTCCCCCCCCAAAAAAGAAAAAAAGCCTGAGAATTGGTGCCTTGGGGATACATGCAGGACGCCCCCTCCCGTTGGTGTCTGCTGTGGCCCTCTCGGGGCTCCCTCCTTTCCTGTGGGCTCAGAGTGCCCCCCACCCGCCCCCATTGGTGGATGTGGATGTTTGGGGCCTGAGGACCCCGGACTTGGGGAGAAGGAGACGCTCAGGGCCGGCCCTTTCCCCAGAAGTGCATTTGGGCCCCTGGTTGGAGCGGTGTTGCCAGACAGGAGTAAGCCTGGGCTGACCCAGCACCCCTGCCCCCGCCCGAGTCTCCTTCCTTGGAATTGGGGCTCCCAGGGGAGCCCTCCCCACACTCCACCTTCACCCCCAGATTCTCCTCCGCAAATCCCTGACGTTTCCTCCTTCTCTGCTCCCTGCGCTTTAGGTTGCAAGATGGGAGCAGAAAACGCGCAAGCTGAGCAAAGCCTTTGGGTCTGCCCACCTGGCCTGCTACGCCCTGGGCAGCACCATCCTGCTGCTGAATGTGCTGCGCTCGCACTGGTAGGTGTGCTGGGCGGACCCCCGCGAGAGTGCACCCTGCGGTGGGGGCGCGCCACGGCAGGCCTGTGTCTGGATGCATGGGTGGGTTCGGCCTCCGCTTCCCTCTCGGGGCCTTCCCTCCCGGCACAGAGGCGTCTGGGATCGGCCGGGGATGGGGTCTGCAGCCCCCAGCTCCCACCCCAGCCTCGGGCTTAAAGTTGCTCCAGCAGGCCTCGGTCTTTCCCGTGGGATCCTGGGGAGACCCCCTTGGGCTCCAGCGGGGAGGGGTCAGGGTAGCCAGGAGAGAGGAGAGGGACCAAGTGTGGCCACTCCAGCCTGCCCTGGCCCTCGTCCCGCCTCGTGGGCTCCGGCGCCCTGGAGGGCAGCAGGCTGGGTCCAGGTGAGTGTGGCCCTTTGGGAGCTTTGAGACGTAGGAGCCGCCCCATGGACTCCCCGCTGGGGGCCAGGGCATAGGACAGCGCGGGGGTGTTTGCCTTGTATGCAGCTGACTGACCCAGGTGGCACCCCACATGGTTCCCTGAGCACCGCCAAGAGTGAACCGAGTGCAGAGCCAGGAGTAAGTCTTGAGCATCGCTGGGTGTGGCCCCCAAACAAACAACCAGAAACAGGGGCTCCACCCTGCAGCCACCATTGCTGGGGACTGAGCCGCCTACCTGTCACTCACGTCCCTGGCCTTGTCTGGGCTCCACCTTGTCTCGGCTCCGATCCCCGGGCCCCTGTCGAGAGGCTTGCTAGCCTCCCCTCACTGCGGCCAGGCCCTTTGCCCTCCATCTGCGGGCTCCCATGTGGCGGTGCTCTGCTGAGGCTGGCCTGCGCTGGCCTTGGGGTCCCTCCCCTCCCTCTCATCGCAAGCCCTTGGGCTGCCCCCACTGGAGGGAGGGAAGGGAACCTGCTTCTCATAGCTGTCCCCGGGCCGCCCCTTGTCCAGCACATGCTCCCAGGGCCAGAATGGGGTGGACAGTCACCATTGCCCGCTTATTGGGCACAGGAGTTCCCCAGGGAGTGGAGAGGGGGGTGGTTCACCTCCCACCTAGCCAGCCAGGACTCTGCCATGGCCCGGGCACAACCAGACACCACCCCTGCCCTGGTGTCACTGCCCACTGTGTCCCGCACAGACCCTTACAGCTAAGCGTCGGCCAGCCGTGGCAGTGGGCTCCGACGGGGGCAGGTGTGTGAGCTCGCTTAGCAGTGGGGCCCGGAGCTGACAGACCCCTGTTTGGGCCCACCGGCTCTGACCCGGGCACCGGGTTCCGGTCTCCCTGTCTGCGTGGACCTTTCTGCTCACTTGTCTGGCGGCCTTGAGTGGGGTCCAGTTCCTCCCGGCTCCCCCATCCCCCTCTGCACCCCTCATTGCTGTCCCTCACGAGACTGCATTAAGATGTCTCTGCTGTCCCTTGCTCCCCACAGGAGTGGCCGCAGATCTGCCCACCCCACCCCTCTGCCGGCCTCTTCCTGCCCATTCCAGGCTGGCTTCTACTCATGCCTTATGCCCCCCAATGACCCCCCCATTGTAGCCCCTACCCTGAGACCTTGCGGCAAGGGGCCAGTCCAGCGCTCAGAGCCCACCTGGACCAGGAAAGCCCACCGGGGGGCACAAGGGCTTCAGAGCTGGGAGTGACACAAGAAGGAGCCAAACTGGCATTTGTATCTTCTGGTGCCAGCCTTGCACTGTTCCCCAGACCCGCTTCCAAGGAGGAGTCCTCGGCGGGGGGTGCCCAGTGCAGGGGAAGTGACAGTGCATGGCCCTGGGGACCGGAACCCTCCTCCCTCCCAGACGCAAGGCGTGGGCAGACTTTCGGGACCTTTGTGTCTTTTCACAGTTACAAAACCCCTCACTGGAGTTGGTTTCTGGGCGTGGCTTGGGTGTCTGGCAAACTCGCTGTCCTCCCTGTGTGAGTGCCGTTGCCCAGTGGCTGTGAACAGCTGTCTGGGGTCTGGACCAGCTCCTGTTTTGGTCCAGCCCGGGTGCCTGGTTTGCCTGGTGATTCCCTGTTGTTTTCTTCCCCGGGGCATCTGCCCACTCCTGCAGACGTGGGTCCCCCTCACAGTGAGGGAATGAGGGAGTGAGGAAATGAATGAGTGAGTGATCGAGGGAGAGAATGACTTAGGTGGGAAGCAAACAAGGGGATGAGTGAATGAGCAAGAGAATGGATGAATGAGAATGAATGAGGGAGGGAGTAAACTGGGAGAGGGAGTGTGTGAGTGAGGAGAGAATGAGTGAGAAAAGGAGGGAATGAGTAGGCTGGGTGGGTAAGAGAATAATGAGTGAGGGGGTGAATGAGTGAATGAGCGAGACCGTGAGGGAGGAATCAGTAAGAGAATGGGTGAATGAAGGAATAATGATTGAGGGGGAGGGAATGAATGAATGAGGGGAATGAGGAATGGGTGATGAAGGGGTCTTGCCTCCATGGCCCCTCTTTCTTGACCACTGCAGAAACTTTTTTGTTTGTTTTTGGGTCACACCTGGCCATGCTCAGGGCTTGCTTCTGGCTCTGCTCAGGGATCGCTTCTGGTGCTGCTCAGGGGTACTAGTGATTGAGCCTAGACTTGCTGTGTACAAGGCAAGCGCCCTACCCGCTATATTTAATTTCTGGCCCAAGAAACCAAATTTTTACAGAGTGGATTGGTGCTTTCCAGGAGGGGAGTGGGAGAAGGGGTCTGGCTTCCATTTATGAAAGAAGTCCCCCCCCCCCTTCCTTGGACTTTGGGTCACAGCAATGCTCAAGGGTTACTCCTGGCTCTGTACTTAAGAATTGCTCCTGGTGGTGCTGCAGGAAAATATGGGATGCTAGGAATAGAACCCATAGAACCCAGGTCAGCTGCGTGCAAGGCAAACACCCTCCCCGCTGTGCTATTGCTCTGACCCTCCAAAAGGAGTAAGTTCTTGAGGGTAGGTCCTGGCACGGTGGTCACAGGGACAGGCTGTGTTCTTGAGACATCAAGAGTGTCTGGAGAGTAGATCTTATTCATTCTCGTTACACAAGTGGCAAAAACTAAAAGGCACTTGGAACAAATTTCAGAAAAGAATTTACTTCTTTTGTTGTGTTTTATTTTGTGTTTGGGTCACACCTAGTGGTGCTCGGGGACTCCTCCTGGCTCTGCACCCAGGAATCACTCCTGGAGGTGCTTGGGGGTCATATGGGGTGGCTGCGTGCAAGGCCAGCACTGTACCTGCTGCAGTCTCGCCAGCCCTGGGTTGGCTTTTGATATTCCATCATGAAGATGCCGGCTTTTGTTGATCCATGCTTCGCTCCACGGACTTTGCAGTTTCTGCCTTTTGGCTACTATAAATAATACTGTCACCACCGTAGCTGCACGTTTGAGCACCTACTTTTAAAAGGAATCTTTTTTTAAAAAAAAAAAAGTTGTACTAGAAGTAGCATGGTTGTCATAGTTTGCAGTGTAAAAGTTTCTGCATGCCCCCTCCCCACCAAACTGCCAGAGACTTCCCCCCACATCGCTTGACAGACTCAGTTCTGTGGTTAAAGTCCAAGGGTTTGTTTTTCTTGGATACTGCCCATTCCCTGTGGACCACAGTGGAGAGAGATTGTCTGGTGTTTGCCCTTCTCCCTCATTCATTTAGCATACCCCCTCTGATGATGACCCCGTCCACACAGCAGAAAAGCAGGAGTCTTTCTCCCTCTCTCTCTCCCTCTCTCTCCCTCCTTTTCCCTCTCTTGCTCCCTTCCTCTCCCTCTGTCTCTCCCTTTCTCCCCTCTCCACCTCCCTCTGTCTCTTCCCCTCTCTGCTCCTCCCTCTCTCTCTCTCCCCCTGTCTCTCTCCTTCCCCCCTTCCCCCCTCCTCTGCCCCCTTCCCCCCACCCTGTACCTGGCCATCAGAGCCTGGGTCTGTGTGCAGGAGTGCCCCCTGGCAGTGCTCCGGACACCACATGTGGTGCTATATTCACATCAAGATGAGCGGTTTGTAGTGGCATGTGTCCACTGCAGTCACATGCGAGGCAAGTGCTTTGACCCACTGACCCACTGTGCCATCTCCCTAACTCCTATTATATTAAAACTTTTTTTTTTGTTTGTTTTTGGGCCTCACTTGACTGTGCACAGTGTTTACTCCCGGTGGGCTCGGGGGAACCGTGTGTGGGAGCTTATGGAGGTGGACCAAGAGCAAGGCAAGCGCCTGGCCCCATGTTGTGGTCTCTTCGCCCTGATTGGGCAGCTCTCGCCCTGCCCCCAAGGGCATATCTGTGAGGGCAGCTGGTCCTCCCCCTGGACAGGCCTCCCTGAGCTCACAGCTGGGCGGGGTCAGCGGCTGCAGGCGAGGCTGGCCCATGTGAGGGCACAGGTATGAGAGGGTGGGAGCTGAGGGTGGTTTTAGGAGCTGGGGGTCCCCTGTGGCCTGGATTTGGCCGAGATCCGATGTCAGGTGCGAGTGGGAGGTGGAGACTGCGGGAGCTGGGGGTGTGGGGGCCAGGGGTGAGGGGGCCTTGTGCTTCCATCCTGGCGCGGGGGCCTGGGGAGGCAAAGTCACACTCACTTCTTTTTATTTTTTTAATTAATTTTTTGTATCACCGTGGGATAAACCCTTACAAAGCTGCTCGTGATTGGGTTCAGTCAGACAGTGTTCCAACACCCGTCCCTCCACCAGTGTAATTTCCCAGCACCAGTGTCCCCTGTTTCCCTCCCACCCCTCCAAATCCTTCCCATGCCAGCCTGCCTCTATGACGGGCACCTCTCTCTCTTCCCCTCTCCTCCCTCCCCTCCCTGCCCCTCCCCTCCTCTCTCCTCTCTCTCATTTTAGGTATTTTGGCCTGCAATACAGATGCTGAAAGGTTACCATGTATATCCCTTTACCTACTTTCAACGCTCAGTTCTTGGCCTGAGTGAGGATGAGTCAGAAGCGGGGAGACAGATAGAGAATGACTGCATTTATTTGTGGGATAAAAAAAACAACAACAACAAAAAAACCATATGAGACTATCATCCAAGACCAGGGAAAATGGGCTAGGAGGACTGGTCAGTGGTTGGAAATTACTACCTGTGTGTGGGGTGGAGGGTAGTTAAGATAGAGGAGGGTCCAGTCTGACAACAGTCATTGGAAGTGACCACGCTGGACAGGCTCACTTCTTACCCGTGGCCCTGGCTCTGCCTTCAGGGCTGTCCTGGGTTCCTGGCCCATGCTGACGCTCAGAGGGGAGTCTGGTGGGCAGGAGCATGGGGCTGCCTCCCCCTCTGTCTCCCCTGCCCCTCCTCTCTGACACAGGAGCCGAGAGCCCCACGTCCTGAGCCCCCCGGCCATTTCCTCCCAGGGGTGATACCTCCTCATGCCACAGACTTGGCTCCCTGTCCCTGACTGACTGTGTGACCCCATGGCAGCTGGGACGGGCCCAGTGTTGTGGCAGCCCCTTGGGTTCCAGAACATTCTCACCCCCAATAAAAAGTGTGCGTGAGTTGCCTCAGCCCCGCAGCCGCCTCCCCCCTCCCCGGAGCCTTAGTCTGGTCTCTGTCAGCTCTGGGCAGACCCTGGGGACTGCAGCTAGTGGTGATGCGGTGGTGAGAGTGAGGGGCCGAGCTGTGGACACTGGGTGGGCGGCGCAGGTACAGGTGATCCCCCACAGCCCACCAACTGGGTTGCGGTGGTCTGGCCGTGCTGAGCCCAGTCCCCCTGGGTGTGCACCAGCAGCTCTGGTGGCAGTGGGAGCCCCAGGTCATCACCTAGTGACGGGCTTCCAGGCCAGCACGCTTACGTGGACACTTGCCGCCGTCCATTACCTCTGCTTCCCCACCGTGGCCGCTAATGAACATGCGCCCGGGCAGTGCAGGGGTCGGGGAGCATTTGATGGCCTCATCCCGGCCGCCCTCAGCGTCATTGGGGTCTGTGGAGGGAGTAGGGTGCCAGGGGTGGGTGACAGCACCCAGCTACAGCACGAGGGCAAACCCCCCTCACCTGGTGTGGCCTTGTATCCTCACCTGAGACCGCACACATGTGGCTCCTGTGACTCTCTGCTGGTCACTGCCCCCCACCCTGTATCCAGCTGGAACTGCCCCTGGAGCGGGGGTGGTATCAGGCCTGGCCTGGGGGCTGAGTGGCCACAGGAGGAGTCTGGAGGGGTGGCCTTGGCCAGCTCACCCTGGTCATCGTGAACAGAACCATGACCCTCACTCTGGCTCCCAGATGGTCTCACCCATGGGGTGGCCGCTGGGGCGTTTGTTTTGATGGTGGAGTCAAACGTGGCCCCACGCGGTATTCCTCGGAGCAGGAAGGACAGCAGTGGCCATACAGGGCTGAGGCGGGGGAGCTGAGCCCGAGCCCACTGTGTGCCCCAGGATGGCAATGCAGAGGCTTGTGTCAGCTGCACCTGGAGTCGAGCTGGTCCAGGGTGGAGGGCTGCCACCCCCACCCCCATCCTCCCTCCAGGCTCTGGGGTTTTAGGGGAGCAGAACACATTGACGAGAAGTCACATTGGTGACCGAAAGCCCAATCTTCCGTTTCAAAAATAGCAGCTGACATAAATGAGTGAGTCTTCGCTCAGCCCTGGCAGGCTATTTCCAAAGGAAATTGCCGCCTCATCTGGCCGCTGCCCCCCCTCCCCCCCCCCCCAGCCCGTCGCTCCTTCCCCTGGAATGGACTGTGCTTTCCTGGCTAATGGAGGCGCTGGGCCGCACAGTCCCCTCTGGGGCCGCATCGCCGTTCCCGGAACCCGGCTCATTCCTCCCCTGCCCAGGGTCCACACCTGGGAGGGACACAGCCACAGAGGCAGGGGCAAGGCAGGTGCCCTGTACTGTGGGAAGCTCCCCCCCAGGGCCAGCAGTGCCCTCAGAACTGCGGGCTGGGCCCTCTCACCCCCCACCCTGCCTGCACTGTGCTCCCTCCACACTTCTGTCCCTTGGAGGATGCTGGTGCGCCCCGGGGTGCAGAGACCCTGTTCCCTGCCTCCCACAGCCTGAAAACAGCACCCAAAGTGGACCCCCATCCCCCGGCTCTCTAGTGCCCCACGTCTGGCCTTCAGGACTGGTGTTGGACTCATGTCCAGCACTCACCCAACATTCTGGTCTCCTGGTGGCGAGCGTCCCCACCCACATGCGGCCCTTGTACTTCACCCCTTCCCCACAGTGCTTCGGTCCTGGCTCAGGTGGGCCCTGCTGCTCCCCTCTGGAATATTCTGTCTCCCCCGATGCCTTCTGGCAGGTTTCACCTTAAATCTTCTGGACAACCCCCCCCCCCCCCCCCCCGCCTCCTCCCACCTCATTGTGCCTGAACCTCGGCCCTCCTCTTCCCTGGAGATGCTTCTCCGTCCTTCCTGCGGTTCACAGCCCCCCACGGGCCACAGCTCCCCACAGCCCACAAGTCCCTGTAGTCGACAGCTCCCAGCCGTGCTCACTGTCCAGTGCACAGTCAGTGCAGCAGCTTCTGGGGGACCAGGAGGGTCACTTCCCCATCCAGAGGAGGACACAAGGCCCAGGCACCCGGATCTGTGGGAGCCCCATGCCGCTTTAAGCCCTCTGCTCTTTTCTTGGGAGGGTTGTCGGGGACCCCCCAGAGAAGCCGAGGCTTAGAGATATTCTGGGTTGGGGGTGGGGCTCTCAGCGGTGGGGCCCAAGGGTCAGTCTGGCCGGCAGTGGGGTGACTGGGCGTCCACACATAGAGGTCTGTCTGATACTGCGCTGTGGTTTGGGTGCCGACAGGGAGAGCCAGGCTGCCATCCCTACCCCCAGGCTGGGTGTCTGGTGAGAGTGGCAGCCCCCAGCCTTGCTGCCCGGTCCAGGGAGGGAGGGGTGGGGTTGCTGCTGAGCTCGCTGCTGAGTGACGCCCGTCCTGCCAGGCTGGCCCTGCAGGATGAACTTCCGGGAGAGGAGAGTCCCAGGAGGTGGTACCCCGCAGGGTGTCAGCAGCCCAGCACCCGCAGGGTGAGGGGGAGCAGGATGAGTGTCCTGGGAAGTGTCTGGCAAATAAATAGGTGCCTCCAGATGCCAGATGGACAGACAGGCAGGTGGAGGAAGAACTGGTGGAGGTAGGGAGCTGCCTGCTGGGGGTGCTTGGGAGAGCGGGCAGCAGCCATACCCAGGGGCGGAGAGCAGCAGCCAGGCACCAGCTTACCTTCCCGCCATGGCGCCCACACATCCTGCCCAGGCGTTGTTACCCCGCACTGCCCTCAGCATACCCCCTGGGCGCCCCCCTGGTATTGGTGCCCCTTTTGCTCAACCCAGTGCCTTGCTTGCCCTGTATAGGGCTGGGGGGGGGGGTGGAGCACGTGCCATGCTCTCGGGTGCTGAGACGCTGGTGGCAGGGGTGTGGAGGCCACTGTCGGGTGTGGGCAGTGAGGCCTGTGTATCTGCTGGGGCCCCCCCATTTTCCTGTAGTCTTGGTGGCTCACACAGTGTGCAAACCTTCAGCCTTGGAGCTGGATCCAGCCTCACAAGCAGTTTCTTTTTGTTTTTCAGGTTTTTTTTTTTGTGGGGTTGGGCTCCTGGCTCAGTGCTCAGAGGTACTCGGGGGACCATGTATGGTGACAGGGATGGAGCTGGGACTGCTGTGTGTAGGGCAAGTGTCCTCCCTGCTGTACTATCGCTCCATCCCTCACAGGAAGAATTTTAAGTGCTCTTTGTGGAAGTCCATTTCTTTTTTATCTAGGTTTTTTTTTTGGGGGGGTCACACCCAGCTATGCTCAGGGGTTACTCCTGGCTCTGCACTCAGGAGTTACTCCTGGCAGTGCTCAGGGGACCATATGGGATGCTGGGATTCGAACCCTGGTTGGCCGCGTGCAAGGCAAACGCCCTACCCGCTGTGCTATCTCTCCAGCCCCTTTTTATTATCGAGTTTTTTAAAAAAAAATCTTTAAATTTTATTTTCATAAAGTTGTTCACAATAATTGATTTCATTCAATATTTCATCACTAACCCTACCACAAATTACACCTTCCCAGCACCGTTATTTTGTATTGCTTGTATGTAAAGGTCTATCTCACAGTGATTCAACAAAAAAGTAAAAAAAACAAAAAACAAGAAAACAGTTTGGTTTTGCGTCTGCATGCTCCTGGAATTCTAAAACGTTAAATAATTGGTCCGGAGACATCTTGCAGCAGATGCTCCGAGATTCATTCGCGTGTCTCTGGATCATGGCCATTGATGTGCTTAAATGGTACCCGGAGACAGTTCGTGGGGTTGACCACCCGGGACCCCAGATGGGTGGGGAGGGGGAGGAGGAGCCCCTTCCTAGCCCCTCGAGGCCTGGCGATTTCAGTCACTGGCCCCACATCCCGGGGCGAGCCTGTGGAAATGGGCCGTGAGGGTGGCCGGGAGGTTTGTGGCCACCGGGCTCATTTGGAGCAGGTGGAGGGACAGTGCCTGCCCCGGTCTGAGGTGCCCGTGGAAAAGGGAAGGCCGTTTCTGAATCTTCACTTACACATCAGGCCGTTGGGCTTTGGGAAGTTGAGAAAAGCCACTCGCCCTGGCCGCCCTCATGCGATGCCTTTTCTCGGGGCGGGGGGCGGGGTGGGGGGGGCGGCAGGATGGTGCTCCCCAGTGCTCCTCCCCTTCATCACCTTCTGGGCTGGCTCTGTTGAGGGCGTCACCCTGCCCAGTGACATGTCTGTCTGTCTGTCTGCCCACAGCTTCACCCAGGTCATGATGAGCCAGCCCCGGCTGGAGAGCCTGGACGGCCCCGTCACCTACCTGCTGGGCCTCGTGCTCCTGGTGGTGGGCAGCGTGTTTGTGCTGTCCAGCTTCTGGGCCCTGGGCTTCACCGGGACCTTCCTAGGTAAGACCCTGGGGCTGGGGGGTGCCACATGGGGCTGCACCCCTGCTGGGCTCTCCTGGCAGCTGGGACCCTCCCCCTGACTGTGTTTGGGTCAGAGCGAGGTGGGGTGGGGGACACAGTTCTCATGTGGTTCTAGAACTTTCAGCCGGGAGCCTTAGCTGGCCTGGCTGGGTGTCCTCATGCCGTGGGTCATGTCCAGCAGCTTGGAAGCCTCAGAGGGAAACTGGGGGCTGAGGGGGGGGCACAGGGGCCAGGCAGCCTCGGGCAGGAGAGAAAGGAGCGGGCACTGCCAGCAGAGGAAGCCCCTCCCTCCTCTCTCCCCTGCTTGTGTGCCCAGCAGATGAGCCTCGCGGTGTCATGCCCACAGCATGAGGTTGGGGTCAGGCTGTGCTGGGTGGGGGCTCCTGGGAGCCTAGGAAGAGATGCATCAGGAGCCCCTGGGGAGTGAGCAGTGGGTGTGAAGGGACGGGCCCATGCAGGAAGGCGGGGCGGGGCGGGGGAGGGCTGGGGCAGGGGTGCCCAGCCTGCCATGTGCTCCTGTGCTGGACAGAGCTTTGGGTGCGATGGGGTGCAGCGCAGGGGCAGGAGGGTCTTCCTGTGATGGGGCGGGACCCAAGGACCCCCAACACTGTGACCCCTCCCCCTGAGACAAGACAGGCCGAGGCCATCCCCACTCAGCCCATCTCTGGGTTCTGAGGCACGAAGCTGCTTCCCCACCATGACCAGCCCCCAGGCGGCTTCTGGGCCATTGCCTGCCTCTTGGGAAGCCGGCCTCAATGGCGAGCCTCCCTCCCACAGCTCTGCGGCGCCTTCTCTCCAGGACTGTGTGTGAGGGGTGCTGGGCGGGGTCCTGTTCCACCCCACAGTGACCTGGGGCTGGGGGCTCCCTAGAGAGCGTCTGCTGCGGTCTGAGGAGAGACCCGGGCGGGGACAGCGTGCAGAGGGAAGGGAGAGCAGCAGGTGGTGGATTGTAGGGCACTGGCCTTGCAAGCCTCCAGTCCGATCCCTGGCACCATGAAAAAATAAAAAAAGCGGGCATGGCTGGGGTGTGTGCCCACTCCCGGGATGCCCAGGGTGTCCCTGAGTCAGAACACTGTGGAACCGCCTTCCATGCAGGCCTCCAAGGGGACAGCCCCCCCCCCCCCCCGGGGAGGTGGTGTGGCCCAGTGGCACCTCCGTTCCCCATCCCCACCCGCTACAGGTGATTACTTCGGGATCCTCAAGGATGCACGAGTGACCTCATTCCCATTCAACGTCCTGGACAATCCCATGTACTGGGGCAGCACTGCCAACTACCTGGGCTGGGCCCTCATGTGAGTAGCCCATACCCCAGCATCCCCCACTGCCCTCTGCTGCTGGTGGGTGACCCGCCAGCTCAGCATGGGAAGGACACTCCTCCTTGGGAGTTTCCTCTCGGTGGAAAAGTAACGGGCAGAAGTCCCTCTGGGTCTGAGAGGGAGGCTGGCAGGGTGCGGGGGTGCAAGGGTCAGTAAGGTGCAAGGCCAGGGGTCGCCTGCCCAGTTGCCCGTGGTGGGAGCGTGGGCGTGGGTCCCTCCCCTGGAGGCTGCAGAAATGTGGGGTTCACATCACCAAATCATTCTCTTGATTCTTGGGGTCGATTTGAAAAAAACGACCCTGGCCCATGTCTGCTAGTAGCTTTCTGCTGAGCCCAGGCCCGGCTCAGGGCTTGTGGAACAGGCTGGCCTTGGCACACAGAGGGCTGGGCCTGGGTGGTGCCGTGCAGCCTGGGCCCCCCAGGGAGGGGCAGGTGTGGCTTCGGCTGAACTTTGCCACCCTGGAGGGGACAGAGCAGCTGCGAAGGGTCACCATGGCCCTCCAGAGCCTGCCCTTTGGGCTCCTACAAGCGTTTCCTGTAGAAGTCTGAAGATTTCAGAGCCACATGCTTAGATCTGACACACGCTCCAAAGACCAGGAAGGTTCTAGAAGCTAAGGTGGGCTGTCAACTCACTGTCATCTTCAGCCTCTCCTGGGAGCCAGGGGGGCAGCCCCTTCCCCAGCTCCCTTCCACACGGCCGACCTGCCCCTCCGGCCTGGCTCCTGGGATTGATGCATGCCCCAGACTGTCCAGGGCACAGAACTGCCCCCCATTTCCCCAGCATGCTGTTCCCCCCACCCCAGCCCCACTGCCTGTCCCTGAGGGCCCCTCTCCAGGAGCACCCCACCCAGCAGCAGCTGGCTGCCCCGACCCGGGGGTGTCAGGCAGGGGTCTGCCGGTGGTGCTCTGGGCTTTCCTGAGAGCAGCTGTGGGGGTGTGGCAGACACAAGCCATTACCCGGAAGGGGGGCTGTGGCAGACTTGGGGCGGTGGGGTTCCTGAGGGCATGAGGCTACGAACCCTGCCTAGCTCACTCACAGCCAGGCCCTGGCACCTGCGCAGCACTCAGGCCTGGGGCCTCTGGGCCCCATTTCTGCCTGTTTGGAACGGGTGGTCACACAGAGCGATGAGGGGTCACTCGGTTATGAGAGGTCACGCAGTGCTGTGAGGGGTCATGCAGGCGGGCAGTCAGAGCTCCTTCCTGGGCCCGATGCTGGGGCCGAGATGCCCTGGCTTTTCGGGTCAGGGTTGTTGATCTTAGGGGGTACACCATGACCCAGAGCCTGGCCTGGCTCACGCGTGCAGGGCCACAGAGGTGCGCACAGCCAGCTCTTGCCTGCCGGGGGGCTGGCTTGTGGCGGGGCCCCTTCCTGGGGAGCTTTCTGATGTGTTCAGCAGCCCAACAGCTCAGAGGCTTCTTTCCTGGAGCTTCCCCACATAATCGGGTGGCAGGAGGGTCCGTGTGCCCTGGACCCCTTTGCCCAGTGCTCTCATGTTGCCAGCCCGCTCTCCTCCCTTTTTCTGGCCGATGTGGACAGAGCAGTCCTGCGCCTACCCCCTCAGAACCCTGGGATCCGGGGGGCTCTCCAGAGGTAGAGGCAAGGTCTGGGTTGGGCTGGGGCAGTGCACAGGCCTGTCTGCGAGGCCCTCGGTCATCGCCCACATGGCCAGATAAAGGAGCGGGCAGGAGGAGAGAGAATGGAAGGAAAGGAGGAAAGAGGGAAGGGAAGGGGGAAAGGAAGAGGAGAGGGAAGGGAAGAGAGGAGGGAAGAAGGGAGAGGGAGGGAGGGAGGGAGGGAGGCAGGAGGCGGCAGCTGGAGCAGAGGTACCAGCAGGCCCAAGGGGGCTTCCCTGGATACTCAACGTGGCTTTGGGTGGACCCATGTGTAGAAAAGCGTTAGACTGTCAGCGGGGTGCCCAACCCCCGCTCCTGTGTGGAGCAGAACCCAGATGGCCTCGGCCGAGTGATCCTGAGCCTCCAGTCCTGTCCCTCCAGTGCACCCCAAATGTACCCCTCGCCTCCCACTTCGCTGGGCATCACCTGTCAGGGCTGGTGACCTGCAGCTGGGGAGGGACGAGTCAGCCTGCACAGGCCAGTTTGGGGGCGGGGGGGGGGGGGGTTGCACAGCACTTTCTGCTGATCGTGTCTCCTCCCCAGGAACGCCAGCCCGTCCGGCGTGCTGCTGACCGGGGTCGTGGCCCTCATCTATGTGGTGGCCATCCTGTACGAGGAGTGAGTAGGGGGCCTCACAGACCAGGGGCAGACCCCTGTCCACCGTCTGACACCCCACCGGCCGGGTCTCCCCTTGTGGCTGCTCGGTGACCAGGGTGGCGAGGGTTGGGCTGCCCATGCTCTGGGCTGTGCCAGGTCGGAGGGGAAGCTGAGAGCAGCCCCGTGGGACGGGCGCCCACCCTTGGCCTCCTGGCCCTTCACAGAGCCACTCATCCCAGGGAGGGCTGGGCGGGGGTGGCACCCGTGCCAGCTGACTCAGCCCCTGTCCCCAATCCCACAGGCCCTTCACTGCTGAGATCTACCGGCAGAAAGCTGCCCAGTCGCACAAGCGTAGCTGACGCCGCGGTTTTGTCCGTTGGAGAGAGAACGGCGCCGGGTTTGCTCGGCGAGGCCCGGCTAGGGCTGCCCCAGTGCCTTGCTTCCTGCTGCCTCGGGGTCCCTGGACATGCTGCTGTGACCACCGAGCACCCCTGCACACCACACCCTGATGCACAATAAAGGCACCCTGAGTCCAGCTCCCCTCTTCATCTGACCTGGGGGCGGGGGCAGAACACATGAGGGGCGCCTGGCCCAGCCCTGAAGGCAGCACCCCGTCCATGCATGCTGGGAAGGACACGCACAGGGACTGCCCACCTCGGCCCCGGCACGCGCCAGGACATGCCCTCGCGGTGCCCGGGACAGCCTGGGAAAGCCTGGGAAGTAGGGAGTGGACACACTCTGAGCTTGGGGAGCAGCATGGCAGGTGGAAGCCCGGTGCCCAGGCAGGCTCGGCTGGGCCGCAGCACGGGAGGAGCAAGTCACACGCCACTCTGGGGCTTGACCAGGCACTAACACTAGCAGAAAACTGGGCTGGGATGCTTGGTTGCTCCAAACCCTGTGTTTGGAGATAGGGTTGCCTGGTGGGTGACCTGAGGGTGTTAGGCGCGTCCCCACGGCTGTGTCCTGAGGCCTGAGGTGGAAGCCGGCATGCGCTGAAGGTGAGGGGGTGGAAGGGAAGGGCAGGCGCGTGGGCCCTGTTACCCGACAGCCACAGCCACAGTCAGTGCCATGATGGTAGGTGCCCTGGGCTTCCAGGTGGGGGCGTGTCTGGGTGACGCACAAGTGAGGGGAGGATGAGTTAGAAGCTCCCCCTGCTCTCTGAGGTGAAGTGCTGGGCAGGTAGGTGGACCCGGTGGACTAGGAGGAGGGCCCAGGGCCTGCACGGAAGCCCCTGTCACTAGGACACTTTGTTCCCCTGTCTTGGCTTTCAAGAACTTCCTGTGTGTGGGAGGGGGAGGGGCGGGGGGGCACGCCTTGCAGTGCTCGGGGCTCACTCCTAGCTCTGCTAGAGGCCACTCCTGGAGGGCCTTGGGGGACTGTATGCATTGAAACCAGTTGCTTCTGTGCCAGGCCAGTGCCCTGGCCTGCTCTTTGCCAGCCGGCCAGGCTGTAGTGGACACTGCCTCAGGGCCTAGCCGCGCCTCCCAGCCCACCCCATCAGCTGCTCACCTGTTTGTTGTTGCTTTGAAGATCAAACCTGGGGCTCCGACATGCAGAGCAGGAACCCCCTTTTCTGGTGGGGCTCCAGCAGGCTCTCTGGGCGGTCCCAGGCACGTGGCTACCTTATGCCTGCACCCAGTAGGATATAGTGGGCACGATTAATCTGGAATACCTGGCAGCGGTGGGCTGGGGCCACGTGCCCACATGGGAACCTGGCTGCCTTCAGTATTGCCGCCATCACTTGCTGATGTCAGGCCGATGGAGGGCTCCAGGTGGAGGCTGGGTTCTGGCCTCCCGGCTCCCCAGGAGAGCCCTGCTCGGGCTCTTGACTGCTCTCAGGCCCGTGCGCCTGGACGCGTCCCTCAGATGCCCACACACGGTGCCAGGTGATAGTACTGGCCATCAGCAAGGGCTACCAAGCTCCTGCTGCAATGCCTGACGGGCCATGATGTGCCCACATGGGAGAGTACCCCCCTTGGGGCCACACAGCTGTGCCCAGCCCTGCACCCTCCTCAGCTGCTCCCTCTGCAGTGACGCTTTGTGGACATCAGTCTAGCCTGGGGGCATGGCCAGGATAGCAGGCCTGCGACCCTCCCTTAAGACAAGAACAGGAGCCGGGCAGTGCCTATGGGTGGCACTCAGAGCTCTCATTGCTCTGACCATAACACCACATGGCCCAGAGCAGCCGCGGTCTGTGCCAGGCTGGGAGTGGGGAAGTTCCTGTCTGTGTGGGGTGGGGGTAAGAAGCGCCACCCCAGAGGATGGGGAGGACCAGGTCTTCAGGTTCCAACACTGCGCCCTGGGCACACTTGTGGTTTCCCTCTGTAAAATGCAGAGTATTTGCATTTGCAGAGTAATAGTCTGGACCCCCGAGGCAAGGCCTGAGACTCAGGTCCTGACTGCAGGAGGCTGATGAGGTGATGTCTGTGTGCCAACATCTGGGAGTGACACAGGCTGGCACCCACAGCCACAACCCGGAGTCCCTCAACTCACTGCCAGGCAAGCAAGCTCAGCCTGGACAGTCTGCCAGCCTCAGCAGCCCCTGCCCACTCGGGGTTACTGTCCAGCCAGCTTCCACGCTCAGACACAAACACAAGGACGCGCACGCGCGCGGACACCAGGCTGCCACTGCCCTCACCCACGGCCCTTCCCCGGGGCCTGGACCACCGGCCACTCCAGCGGCAACAGTGCTGTCCTCCTGGGGAAACTGCGTCTCAAGACTGGGAGAAAGGCGCTGACGCCTGCAGCAGAATGCGGGGCAGCGCGGGGGAGGAGGGGCGGGGGCGCCCAGTTCCCTCCGCTGACCGCTGACCCCAACCTGGCCGCTCCGCCCCACCCAGCCCTGCGTGCGGGGCTCTCTGCTGCCCTCTGGCGGCCGAGTGCCGGCGCCGCCACGGGCGCCCGCATTAGCGTCCACCGGCAGGCGAGCAGCAGGGCCCGGAGCTGGGGGTCCCTAAGGGATCGAGGGTCGCAAAGCTTTGTGAGCTTGGCGAATAGCGCCCGATAAGCACTGCCCTGCCGCTGCTGTTCTCTGGGGAAGCTGAAGCCCAAAGCAAGTGGGTGCCCGCGGGAGCTGTGAGCGCGGACTCCTCGCGCCAAGCGCAGCCGGGCCGGAGCGGCCGCAGCGGAGCCCGCGCGTGTCCCTCCGGCGGGCGGGGCGGGGCGCGGGGCGGGGCGGGGCGGGGCGCGGGCCGCCGGCGCGTATAAGAGCGCGGCGCGGGCAGCGGGTCGCCGCCACTGTCCCCGAGCCGAGCCCGCCAACCTCCGCGCTCCGCCGGCCCCGCGCCGCCCCGCCGCCGGCCGCCCGATGAAACTGGCAGCGATGATCAAGAAGATGTGCCCGAGCGACTCGGAGCTGAGCGTCCCGGCCAAGAACTGCTACCGGATGGTCATCCTGGGCTCCTCCAAGGTGGGCAAGACGGCCATCGTGTCGCGCTTCCTCACCGGCCGCTTCGAGGACACCTACACGCCCACCATCGAGGACTTCCACCGCAAGTTCTACTCCATCCGCGGCGAGGTCTACCAGCTGGACATCCTGGACACGTCCGGCAACCACCCCTTCCCCGCCATGCGGCGCCTGTCCATCCTCACCGGTGAGCGGGCGGGCGGGCTGCAGGCGGGGGGCGGTGGGAGGCAGGCGGGCGGGGGGCGAGGCCGGACGGGCGCCCCCAGCGAGCCGGTTTCTAGCCGCCCCCCTCACCTTCCCCTCTGTCCCCCCCAGGAGACGTCTTCATCCTGGTGTTCAGCCTCGACAACCGCGACTCTTTCGAGGAGGTGCAGCGGCTCAAGCAGCAGATCCTCGACACCAAGTCCTGCCTCAAGAACAAAACCAAGGAGAACGTGGACGTGCCCCTGGTCATCTGCGGCAACAAGGGCGACCGCGACTTCTACCGCGAGGTGGAGCCGCACGAGATCGAGCGGCTGGTGGGCGCCGACCCGCAGCGCTGCGCCTACTTCGAGATCTCGGCCAAGAAGAACAGCAGCCTGGACCAGATGTTCCGCGCGCTCTTCGCCATGGCCAAGCTGCCGCGCGAGATGAGCCCCGACCTGCACCGCAAGGTCTCGGTGCAGCCCTGCGACGTGCTGCCCCGGAAGGCGCTGCGCAGCAAGCGGCTGCTGCGCGCGGGCCAGCCGGCCGACGCCGTGGGCATCGTGGCGCCCTTCGCGCGCAGGCCCAGCGTGCACAGCGACCTCCTGTACATCCGCGAGAAGGCCGGCGGCGGCGGCCAGGCCAAGGACAAGGAGCGCTGCGTCATCAGCTAGGGGCCGTCGCCGCGACCACCGGACAGACGGGGCAGACGGGGCAGACGCGACGGCCGGCCGACCGCCCGGGACCCCGCGGGAGGGGCGGCGGCTGGGCCCGGGTCTCGCCCACCTCCGATTCCCCCTTGGCGGCCCCGGCCCACCCCCACGACCCGAGGGGCAGGTCCCAGTAGAGGGTGAACGTCTAGTTTCCCACGCAGCCCTGAGTGGGGGCGGGGTGGGCGCCGGCCAGCAGCAGGGACAGGACAAACTGGGCATTATCCAGTCTGCGACTTGGGTTGCCCTGATGGCTGGCGGCGGTTGACGCCCTGAGGACGAACTAGTGGGGTGCGGGTCCAATCATATTCAAGTGGTTTGTTTACATGTGTATGTGAAGTTGCACAAAAGAAAACAAAACAGCAAACTTGCACTTTAATGGTAGTTCTGGTGTCATCACAGACATGAACAAAATCTTATCCAGGTGTTTCTATTGTGTGTGTGTCAGTCTGTTATTGTTACTTTTATATATAAAATAAAATAATTTAAAATGAAAAAAACCGGTTTCCTTTGCTTTTAGAAATGAGCAGGGAGATGGGTGAGACTGCGGTGACTTCCTGCTGCTCTGGGGCTGAAACCACCTTTCCGGTCACTGCCCTGCCACTGCAAACTGCTCCAGCTCTGCAGTTGACTGGGCTGAAGCCCTTTTATTTATTTAGGAAGGAATCCTTAACTGCCAACACTGTCAATCAAGGAGTTTAGGGTGTTCCCCAGAGAAGCTTCTAGTCATTTGCCCTCTAGGCTCTCCTTTGATCATTTTTGTCACAGGAAGGTGCAGTGTCACAGTCTCTGTGCTTTTGTCATTGTACTCAGGGTAGGCCCTGGGGCAGTGAAACCTGGATCTTCCCATGGGTCTGAGGGTCACTGCTTCCAGAGAAGGAATTGGAGCCTTGGGAAATGGAGCTGGGGCAAGCTGATGCAAGACCCCCATCAATGCCAGGACCGGGGGAAGCTGATGCAAGAGTCTCAACCACGCCAGGACTCCCAGCAGTCGGGGGTCACTCATCTGAACTTGGGCCCCAGCTCAGTGGCTGAAAGCTCTAGATGGGCGACTGCAGTCAAGGCGTCACTCAGATTTCCCCTTTGGAAACACATGGGGGAAACACAGTCTCCTTTGCAGGGGAAACTGTGAGGATTAAGTGCCTAGAACCCAGTAATCAGATACCGGGTGGCTTCAAGGTCCCCAGCCCTGAGGTGTCCAAGCTGGCGGGGGGGGGGGGGGGGGGGGGGGGGGGTGCTGCCCCCTGCCTGGACCCACACACTGCCACAGTGATGGCTCGTTCCTGCTTCCTGGGAGTCTTTTCATGGGGTTCAGCTGTGTGTGCTGGAGCGATAGCACAGTGGGTAGGGCGTCTGCCTTGCACGCAGCCAACATGGCCGACCTGAGTTCGATTACTCCACCCCTCTCGGAGAGCCCGGCAAGCTACCGAGAGTATTCAGTATGCCAGACACAGTAACAATAAAGTCTCCAATGGAGACGTTACTGGGCCCGCTCGAGCAAATCGACGATCAACGGGAGGGCCTTTACTTTACTTTTACAGCTGTGTGTGCAGAGGGGAGAGATGCAGACCATGGTCCTCATCATTGATTCTGTCTCTTCTAAGTGAACGGTCTATTCTCAGTTGTCCCCAAGAGACAGCCTGCTGAGTTTCTCAGGACAAAGATGAAGGTATCTGGGTGTGGAACAGTTTATTCTCTGGAGACCTGCCTGCCCCGGAGTGCAGGAAAGTTCCCCCCTCCTCCCTCCCCAAAAAGAGTCCTGGTTAGTTCCAGCCTTACAGACAGGCCCCAGGTTGTGTGTCGGCTTGCGTCATGTTCCTTGGAGCCTTAAAACTGGCCTCTATGCTACTCTAAAACTTCAAGGAAATAACTGATTCAGTTAAATAACAGTCCAGACCTAGGGAGGAACTGGTCTAATACGTGACTACCTACTTACCTGCAGAACCTACTTTCCTGTCCAAAGTCACTGAAACCTGATCTACACCTCCCCCCTGACAAAATCCTTGGGTTGCCAGTAAGCTGGCCATCCAGACAGGTGGCTGCAAGCTGCCACGAACGGAACCCCTGTTAAAAACATTTTACGCCAACGTAGCTGCCAAAGAGGTCAGCTGGCAGGCATCTGTTAAACCCCTGAACTGGTCAGCAGAGGCTGTGTACCCATGTCTACATCGAATCAATGTTGTTACTTCGCATCTAATCTGTAGAGGCACGGGCAAGAACTGCTCTGACTTCAGGTCAACACAAGAGCTCACCAATAAAATACCCTTCTGCAAGAAACGGTGGGGTGTTTTTAAGTGTATGAACACAAGCTGGCTGTGTAACTTCCAGGCCCGCCCGCCCGCTCCCCCAGAAAGGATTCAGAACCAAGCTAGCACATCTGGCCTCGACCACACCCAGCTCTGAGCAAGCACATCCAGAACCCTCTTGCATTCCCAGTCAAGGTCCATCAGGGTCTCTGGTGGGAAGGAGAGTCTCCTTTTTTTTGTTCTGTTTGGGGAGTCACACCCAGACCTGCTTAGGGCTTACTCCTGCGTCTGCATTCAGGGAATCTGTTTTAATCCGAGACTGCGGGAACCCGATCCAGGTGAGTTCACTGGAAACCCATTAGGAATCCCTATTCCAGAGGAAGCACCGTGGGTCTCAGCCATCCCTGGGCTTTGCAGTGGCTAGTCAATGGCTAAGCAAGCCAACTGACAATAAAGCTAAATGTGGAGTAAGGACACGTAGGTGGCAGAGAACTTCAAGAGAGGGGCTGTCTGGCAGCAGACTCCCCCACAGACAGTTATATTCACTGGCTCAAACATGAAAGGAAGCAAACTGTTTTGGGGGCGTGAGGGCAGGCCACCCCGTAGTCTTTCAAAACCCATGTTCCGTTCGCTCACCCCCTTCTTTTACCATTTTAAGTTCATGCTGAGAGCAGGCCAAATCTCCTGGATGTATTCTATGCAAATGTCCAGACATGGCTGTTAACAGGAACAGTATGTACCTGGTACATACTGATCATACTAGGGGGGCGGGGGAGGAGGGCAGGAAGCAAAGGGGAGTTGCCTCCTTTCTACTGTGTGCCTTCGGAGAAGCCTGGGCACACGGCAGATGGCCCACTCCCCAGAGGAAGGCTCGAGCCCCACCCAGCCCTCCCCAGCCTCTGGGAACACTCTTCCTTCCAGCACCAAGCATCTGGACATACGGCTCTGTACAAAGAAGCCCCGAAGAAGCCAAGTTCGAGGGCTGGCTCCTTGCACTGTCACTGACAAGCTTGAATTAAGGAGGCCGTACAAAAGCCCCCACCCTGCTCAGCCACAAATATTCCGGAGAGGACAGAAGAACCAGCCTCCTGTGGTGGGCACGGAGGGGCGGGCGGAAAGGCCATTTTCTCCCTGGGGTCTCGCTGGAAGACGGCCCGGGCCGCCTCTACTCCTTGGGGATCTCAAACATGCAGAGGCTCTTATACTTCTGCAGAAGCTCATTCTTGGTCCTGACTTGCTCTCGCAGACTGTGCAGCTGCTGCTGCTGCTGCTCAGGGCTCAGGTGGATGCCGGGCATGGTGCTGATGATCTTGCGCAGCTCCTGGAACTTGGTTTTGAGGGCGTTCAGGTCCTGGTGGATGTCCGGGCCGTCCTTGTCCATGCTGTGGGGGCAAGGAGCACTCATCAGCCTTGGAAGTTTGCACCCTGGCTTCTCCCCACACCCGACAGGACCTGCTGGCCTTCTCCATTGTCTCGTTTCTTTGATTTTTTGTTTGTGGGTCACACCTGGCGATGCTCAGGAGTTTCTCCTGGCTCTGCACTCAGGAATCACTCCGGCGATGTGTGGGGAACCATATGGGATGCTGGAGATTAAACCGGGTTGGCCGCATTCAAGGCACACACTATCTGCTAGACTCTCTAGTCCCTAAAAAAGCCCGTTTTAGAACACCTTGTTTTCTACTAAGTTGTAGCCTATGCTGTCCCTCTTAGAGCTTGCTCAGAAATTAGGTGCTTTGGAGCTAGAGAGAGAGTACAGTGGGGACGGCATTTGCCCTGGGTTCCCATATGGTCACCTGAGCAATGCCAGGAGTGATTCCCACATGTAGAGCCAGGAGTAAGCCCTGAGCATTGGTGGGTATGACCCAAAACCAAGAAAAAGAAAACTAAGAGGTGCTTCAAGGCTATTAGCTAAGAGGGCAAGGAACCGTGTCTTACAGCTATATCCCTAGTTCCCAGTCCAGCCCCTATGACAGTCAAAAAACATTTGTTAGAAGAATGGCTGCTTTACAAACAAGGTGAAAAAGGGTCTGTTGGATAAACAAACCATTACTAGTATGAGGTTGCAAATGCCAAGCAAAACTTTCAGGAGAGCTTATCACTAACAAGAGCTAATTTTAGTTGATGTCTTAATGCTCAAATCTATTAACATAAAGACAAATTTCCACAGCGCTATTCATGCCTTTGACATCAGTCACAAGCTTTTGGGAATCTTTTAGCAGGCAGAAGGCTCCTCTCCTACCAGTCATGCAGACCCCTGACCCCTGTCTTCGGGCCAGACTCATTGCAGAGGAGATCACTCACTTAATTTCACACTCTTAAGACTGCCAGAGACCCAGGTTTCCCAGCACCACTAAATTAAACAAACAACAAAAAAAGAATTGTTTTTTAAGAGGTTTGGTTTTGGAAACAACATGAAACTAAAACTTAAAGCCAATTGAGTAAGTTATTCTAAAAGTCCATCTCTAAGGCATAAAAAGGAAATGTCAAAGATTCCTCGGTGGGAAATTTCAAACCAGACAGTGCCACTTCATGTTTATCATTCATCATTTCTCTGCTTACGCTGAAAGAACATCAATCTTTCCTTAGAGCTCAGACCTGAAAATGAGGCATCCCCAGGCTCTGTTCACTATTTATCAACAGTCCTGATCTGAGAGGCAGAGGGAGGATCGTTTATTCTAGGGAATAAACAGCTAGCCAAACATTTCTTCTTGTCGTTTGATGTTATTGATTTAGATATAGAATGAATGGTTTACTTTATCCCAGCTTCAGGGAGTAGCAATAAGTATTCATGAGAACTGCAAATCATGTGATGGAGGCAAACAGGGAACATCTTTTAAATTTTTTTTTTAGGTCTCGGGTGAGATCCACAACTCTGGACAGAAACCATCTGCACTTCTGAAATCAGTGTACTTGATGGCATATGTGTTAACACATTGTTATGAATTTAAGTCCCAGAGCAGTTTTGAAACTAAAATACAGTTTTAGGAAAACGAATTCACATCACACAAGTCCAGAAAGAACACAGTAAAAATAAAATTACATAAAATTAAAATCTGGGAGGGAGTTATGTAAAAAGTGGGTGGTGCTTGAGATGTTCCATTTTTTGTTGAAACTTCTTATTGCGAAGGTATTTCCAAAGAGACAGCTCTTTGGAAGGGCACATGCCAGGAGCGCGTGAAGCCCAAGTTGGATCCTTGGCACTGCCTGGTGTGGCCTGCTGGCATGGAACCCTTCGGGCCTGTATCACCAGACCAAACACCACCTAGAGCAGCCCTGGCTGTCTTGAGCATGGCTGTGTGCAGTCCCTATGAAGATCACGGGGGGTGGGGGGTGGGCACAAGGGAGGGGGGCGGGGGGGTGCCGGGGCAGAAGACACACTTGGGCTGCGTCGCTGGAGACAGCCTTCCACACGAACTATGGCGTACCAGGAAAGCTCAGGGGAGGGAGCTCAGCTGAAAGGGGCCACAGAGCCTAGAGGCCCAGGCACAAGCTCTCAGCCTGCCCTAATCTGTTGGCGGTAAAAAAGCAGAACTCCTGGGGAGAGGAAAACATTGTATTCAGGGTTTGGCTAGAGCTAACGGGATCTGGTGGACCAGAAAGAGTGTGAAGCACTCAAGCCCTAAGAAGAGAGCCGGGCCTGAATACTGAGAGAACAAAAGCAGAGAGCTCCAAATGGGCACGGCACCTTTGTGTGCAATGTTAGTCATAGCCCAACTTTAGGAGAGAAAAATGAGAGTAGGTCAGGCCCAGAAGCACATAAACCATACAAAGAAGCTCAGGGCTGGGGGGGCTTTCATCCACCCCATGCAGTTATTTTTTATTTTTTGATTTCTAGGCCACACCTGGCTCTGTTCAGGGGTCAGTCCTGGAAGGGTTGGGGAACTGTATGTGGGCCTTACCCACTGTGCTCTCTCTGTGGGCAGTTTTTAAAAGGTGGACAAAACCACCACTGCTATGGCCTGGCTGACAGGCCACTTTCTGACCAGATTCCAGTTGAGACACAGATTCTATTCTGCTTGTGTTACCAGACTTGACATCCCAGTAGTCCCCAAGCACCACCAGGTGTGGCCCCAAACCACAGCCCTCCCTCCTCCAATCCAATTCTGAATCCCAGAGCAGTGAGTGTAAGAAGGGCACGCAGCAGCCTTGCTCTCCGCCTTTCTCTCCTGAGACCTGGGCGCCCGTGGCAGCCTCCAGCTCCCGGCCCCTCCTGGGAGAGCAGGCCTTCAGCCAAGCTGCAGGGTTCGGGTGGAGGGGCCCCACAGACAGAGACTGTGCCACTGCCAGTCTACAAGACCCGAGACCAGGCTGGAAGACCGGGGAGTGGACGCTGGAGGAGACGATGGCCTGGTTCCCGCCCCAAAGGAGGTTCTTCAGGGGTACCCACCACAACCGCGAGAATGAAAGAAAGCAAAGGCATGACCCCCCTGCCCCCGGAACCAAGAATTCCTGAAAGTGGACCAAGGACTACTTTTTTCAAGCTATTTGGCTGCAAACTACTTAGACACAAAAGGCTTGCCTGATGTTTACAGACAAGACTGCTGCCAATGTGATCAAAAGGAAAACACCTGAGAGATTTCCAATCCCTTCAGTATCAAAAATGACTTCAGCACAGCAGCAGCTGCCCAGGAGAGAAGCAGTGATGTGAAGAGAAGCGAAACGCCATGTCTGAGGCTGGGACACTGCGCACACGGAAGGAGTGTTCCCGGCTCGAACTGTACTGCTGTTCCTAACAGTGAGCATTTAACAAGCAGGGGACAAAGGCGGCAGCAGGTCACCAGTCTTAGCAGCATAGTGGCTGCATGGCACGTGCAGCCTGAGGACAGACGCCAGACCAGGCTTTGCTTCTCTTCTAGTACGATCAAGTTTCGTTTGCCTTTGTTCGGAATGAAACAGAACCGCGCGTTCTCTATACAAAGTGGCTGGTTTGGGGAATGGAGTGATAGCACAGTGGGCAGGATGCCTGCCTTGTACACAGGCCACCTTGGTTTGATCTCAGGGGCCCTTGATTGTCTCCTGAGTCTGCCAGGAGTAGTCCTGTGCACCGCCGAGCCCAAAAACAACAAAAGAAAGTGGTGGGTTTTACTTGTGGCTCTGCACGCAGTAACTGAGTCCTGGCAGTGCTTGGGACTAAAACCTGGCAGGTCAGCTGTGTGCAAGACAAGTGCCCTACCTGCTGTACTCTCACTCCTGCCTGACTCAGCACCTGGAGATGCACACAGGCAACCACCAGCAAGCATGGGATTGAGAAACACAAGTTTCTATTTACGAATCCCCAGGGTCTCTAAAGCCAACCTCCTCCCAAACTTGTGGGTCATTTCACTTTGACCTCTCGGTGGCACCTGACTCAGTTTCCCCCTTCCTCCATCCCTGCGGCCCTTCCTGGCTCACCTGGGCCCAGTTCTGCAGCCCTCTCGCCTGCCCTCCCGTGAGCCTGTCTCCCTAAGATAGCAGGTTTCTTGTTGTTTACTCTGACAGTAATAGGTGCTTAAAGGGAAAAAATGTGAACATGACAAAACCCAAGTTGTAGGAAAGTTCCTCCTATCCACAATCCAGAGATAACCTCTGTTAATAAGTGCTGTTATGTTGCCTCAGATTGTTTTAAAACACAATATATATGAATACACACATACTGTGTTGACAAAAATGAGATCAATGGTACACAGCAGATTCTGACTCTTCCTTTCACCACTCAACAATGACCCTAGAATGTCTTTCTTTCTGAACACAGTTATTCAGCTTAAATTGTTGGGGTGTTGGTATGTCTACAATTTATCACATGCAACCAAAATGGCAACAGGCACTTTATAACTGGATCTACCTGTGCCTGTGCAAGCACTCGGGGAGGCTATCTTCCCAAGTGTGACTTCCGGCCTGAAGGTTACAGACACTAGAATCCGGACAGGTTACCAAACACCCCTGCGGAGTTGCTGCTGCCCCCTCTTCAGATGCAGGACCACAAGCACGATGTTTGTCCCTTCAACAACTGACAACACCAGCTATTGCCTGGTATTAGGACCATCTCTATTTACCTGCTCTAGCTTTTTGTTTACTTGCTCGTGGGCGACACTTTGAGGTGCTCAGAGATCACTTCTAGTGGGGTCAGGGGACCATGAGGGGCGCCAGGAATCAAATCCTGGTGGGCTATATGCGAGGCGAGTGCCTTACCCCCCCCCCTCTGGCCCCTTATCTGAAGGCATCCGACAGGCCTTTGGGAGGACTTGGAATGGAACATTCTTGTTTTTATCTGCTCACAAGGTTACAGACAGAAAAGTCTTCCTTTTCGGGAGGAATGAAAAAAAAAACAATCTCTACTAAGCACCAGAATGTTCTTATACACCTCTTCAGAGAGAACTCTCTCAGAGAGAGAGCTCAAGGAGCA